GTGGCCCAAAAGCCCTAAACCCGGATTCCTCAAGTCACGAAAAAAAAATCCCGCTTATCCGGTGAAGACCCAAGTGGCCCAAAAGAAGTGGTTCGGACCGCAATGTAATTCTATATAGGTCTCGGGCCCGACTACTACTAGTACTAGTACTAGTACTAGTACTAGTACTAGTACTAGTAGTAGTAGTAATAGTACTACTACTACTACTACTACTAATACTACTACTACCACTACTACCACTACTACTACTAGTACTACTCCTACTCCTACTCCTACTCCTACTACTACTACCACCACTACTATTGCTCCTGCTGCTGCTGGTACGGCGACTTGTCGTCCGAGTACCACTACTACTACTACTACTACTACTCCTACTGCATACCCCTCACGAACCCTAAGCCCACTACGACTACAAGCCCAAACCCTATAAAGAACCCTAAGCCCTTCGTAGCACCATTGCTGCCGAGGTTTGATCGTCTTCGTTGTCTTCCAGATGCCAGTGCAGAACCAGAAGCCAAGGCCTCCTGTGCCGGTGTTCAAGGAACGCCGGCGAAAGTTTCCCAAAGGGCATTTCAGCACACGGGATCTTGCTAAGATGATGGATGCAAGGCTGATAAGTTTGGGACGAGTGCTTCGCTGTTGTCGGGAACTCTGTCAGTCGAAATCTGCACCTGCAGCACGTCTACTATCGCGAATTGAGAGGTTGGTCACGAAACACGAACGATTGCAGATGGGTGCTGAAGACAGCCGTGAGTATACTGGGAGCGGGTCTGGGGCTGGATGAAAGGCGAGCCGATGCTGCAATGTTTTTTTTACAGGTGCCTGGCGACTCTAGCTGCTAGGGCGAGCCGATGCTGCAATGGTTTTTTACAAGTGCCTGGCGACTCTAGCTGCTAGCTTTCTGGAGCTGAGATGTTTGCAGAGGGCTTCATTGGTGATGATGGAGCAAAACGAGCCGTGTTCTGGGGCCCCTCATTAATATGCCTACAGTCGCACACCCAGA